TCAGGGAACTTAATGGTCCAGTATTCATGACAATGATCTGTGAATAGTCTTCTTCTTCCTATAAGCCTGATGCTGGACGCCATTTTGGATGTGATACTTTTTCACGGGGTGAGGTGGGTGTGTGTGTGAAAGTGTTGAAACTGAACACAAAGAATTCCCACCTTGGGCAAAATATATTTAAAGGCAAGGAACCAAACAATAGAGGCAGTTGCCAAACACCAAGACACTCCTTACCTACAACCCAGATGACTGTTGGAATCATCTAAGACTGAACAGGGGAAAGGACTGAGCCCAAGCTGGGTGAAGCCTCGCGTGTGAGAAAAGGTGATTGATTAGAACTACTGTTAGAGTAAGACATTGCATGTAACAAGTTTTTTAGAGTACAAAACTTAGCTGGTGTATTTTATTTTGCTTAGCAACTTACTTTGATCTGTCTGTTTTTACTTGCAGCCACTTATATCCTACTTTTTCTACCAAATAAAACCACGTTTGTTTATTATCAAACCTAGGTTAAATAATTTTTACCGGGGAGTGTGTACAGCAGCTGTGCCTCTCTCTCTTTCACTGATGAAGGGGGCGAACAACTTATGAGCTTACTGTATAAAATGTATGCAGAATGAGATGGATTTCTCTGGGGGTCTGGTCCCACTAGGGCTGTACATGTAAGTGCTATGTCAAGTCCCTGTGACTGAGCCTTCCCAGAGCTGAGCTACTCTCAGATTCTGTGTTTCTGTACTGTGGACTGTGACCCCAGCTCTGTGCCTTCTCTGGGGGAGACCAGAAGTTCTGGCACAGCAGGACAGGATGGCGGAGTGCCACAGAAGGCAGGTATATGGGCTCAGTGGTATGATCAGCCCATTCAGTGACAGTCTCAAGGGGATCTCTGTGTCTGAACCTGTCACATCCCATCTGGCTGTATTTTGTTTTGCCCACTAGCATTTGAAGGTAACCGAACACATATCTGTTTGAATGTGTCCAGCATCTCTGGGTGCATTCAATGAACTGGATTTTTTTTTACTGAATTATCAGAAATGAATGTTACAGCTACTATGTAATAGAAAGGAAACAAATCTCTGGAGGATGCTTCATGAAAGCAGAATACTGCGCTTTTACTACTGAGTAAAATAGAAGCTGGAAGGAACTAAATCTGTGACTAATGGAGCAAGCAGTGCATCCAACAGTACCATCACCTCTAGGAATGCGGGTAATAAAATCAGAATGATGTGGGGCATGCAGGAAAACTTTGAAGGGAAGCAAAGGACATTAAAATTCAAATTTGAGCATAGCTCTGAAACTGGGGTCAGCTTCAGGTAATCTGGTAGCTCAGCTAGTGCACAAACCACTTCCTTTTCCATTCCTGATGATGTCATGATTACAACAACTGGTTTCATGGAAAAGTAATAGGAAAAATTTTCTTTCTTTTCTTTTATATATTATGGATCTTATCTAAAGCCCCATTGAAATTCAGAGGAATCTTTCCATTTACTCCAGTAGGTTTTGGATCAGGTCCTAAGTGATTATCAGTGATCCACATGTACTCTGAGAACCAGTGTGCTCTTTGCAGAATTCTCATCCAGCTGAGTGCAAAGTTTAGAGACTTGTTCGCACTTCAAAGACTGTGTTTCAGAAAAAGCTTGGATTGCATATTCTCAGATTCATAGGAGCAGAATGGGTTTTCCTTTCCTTAAAGATTAGTGTTTCTGTCTTGACCCTGGCTGGGTCCAGACTATTGGAGGGGACAGTAGGAGCTGGATTGAAAGGTTGTATTTTTTTCTTTTATCTGTTTGTCTGAATTCTCTATTTTAAAAGAATATGAAAGTCAGCATGTTTTCAGCTTTTAAGCTCGTTGTTGTTTACTGAACTGGTAGATAGATGTTTTGTAGGCTTATGCTTAGTTGATTTAAGAGGTCTTTCAGCAGAGGTTGGGAGAGTGGAAAGGCAGCTGCTCTATGGGATGACAGTGTTAAGAGACGATCTCCATGATGCAAATACACTTCTGCATGAAATTAATGAAGTTAGATCTTCATGCTGATCACCGAGCAAAAAATCTAACGTAGTGGGTGGGCACTCAAGTCTGCCGGCTTCACTACATCCATTGCTAAGGAAATCTACCAGGTCTCATCCAGATCCTCTGAGCAAAGCTCTGCCAAATTTTACAGACACTTCATATTTATTTCAGGATCAGTAATGCAGCTGCATTGACCCCACTGACTATGTGCTGTTGCTTAAGCAGAAATACAGAACAGCCTTTGAAGCTGAAGCTCAAAACAACACACTTTATGATACAGTACTATAGGCAGTTTCTTATAACTTCTGCAGTTACCTCTGGTGAACTCCCTGCATGACACACAGGAGCCAAAAGCTCATGAAGATTAAAGTATTAGGAGTACGGAACCTCAGTCGCCCCTGTTTCCCAAGTAATTCTGCTGTAGTTCTTTTGTCTTTGACGTGTGTTCAGACACCCTACAAATGGAGATTGCAGGAACAGCTAGAATGAGCATCTCAGTCACATAAGAAATGCAAACCTGTCTTCCCTGAAGTCAGATCTTGATTATCCAAATGTAATGATGCACATTGACTCTGGATCACTAGGGAATTTTCAGCACATTTAGTACATAGTGGGGGCGTTTTTGACTAGTCAAGGTTTGACAGTACGTCCTTTCATCCCAAAGGCCTCCAAACCACATTACAAGCTACAGAAACCACTGCAACACAGCTATTGTATGACGTGCATAACCACAAGGCAGCTGTTTGGGCCAGAAAGAATAGTATATCCATTAGAAACTGCAGGGTAACTCTTAGACAGATCGAATGAAGTTAGTCAAAACTACTTCTGAAGCTGATGTGCACCAGTTATCCTGGCTCCAAAGCTTCTGAACCCCTCGAGCTGTGAGAGCTTTCAAGGAGAGTGTGCTGGATCAGGAAGGAAACCACAAAGGGTGGGGGTGGGGGACTCCTGTCCCTCAGGATGCTCTGTGGCCTGGCCACTGCTGCTGATGTAGCTTGTGCTTTTGGTGGTGCTTCTCTCTCATAGAGAGGCAAGAATTGCTGACTGAGCCATGTCATTCTGAATCTACAATAACTGCCCTGTCTTTCTCCCAGACCCCCTTCTACCTTCCACCTCCCACCTCCCTGCCCTGTCTTTCTCCCAGACCCCCTTCTACCTTCCAGCTCCCACCTCCCACCTCTCCACAAAGCAGAGAATGATCTGCGGCACAGCTAGCTTCATCCGCACAGAGTGTGCATTCTGCCTCTGAGTCACATCATGCAACCAATTCCACGGCTGTCAGGGATTTCTCAGCAGAGGAAGAAGAGACAGGATTTGCCTTGGGGAAAGATCTGGCATTGTCAATAGCAGACCTTACTGAGCATGCCCTTGGCTGGAGCTATGTTGAGATTCCAGTCAGTAAAGAGTTCAGTCAAAGTTTCCAGAAGCGAGTCCCTATAAAGCAGAAGCCTGTGCTGCTGCATGTTTCTGTCCTTGTCAAGCAGCAGAGCTGGTTTACAGGCTAATGGTAAAACACAATTTTCACAATTGCCAGTGTTTCTGCCATCTGACACATCTGAACAGCCACTGACTGTACCTTTCTGCCCATTTACACAGCGGGGGAATGCGCTGCCCTATGGAAGGAATGCCTTGCATGTGTTCCAAGGTCTTGCAGTGCTAAACAAATAGCCCCGTGAAAAAGGTCAGAATGATTGTAAAATGTGCATAAACAGGGAAACCAAGATAAAGAGAAATGACATCATAGGCCCATATGCAGGAATTTCTGTGTGTGTGTGTGGAAGGGGGGTGCGAGATGTTGGAGGGGCTGGTGGCCCTTCTGAACTTGTCAGTACTGATTTTTCACTCTACATACCAAGGATATCACCAGGGCTCTACTCCTTGCGGGAGAGACAAGAGCAGTACTTAATCACCTCCAGCAGCAGAAGCTGAAGAATTTTTCAGTGAATGGGTGCTAGAACTAGAAAGGCAAGGGGAAAACAAAATATTTGTTTCTTTTGAACCTGGGACTACACTGAATATTTCACCAGTTTTTTGTCTCCCTGTTTAATAAAGCAGCATACATTTTTTATTTTTACTTTTGGAGACCTTTCTTCAAAGTATGAGCTAGAAGCATCACCCAAGCTCTCCTGCCATCTGTCTCAGTTCCCAGGTACTGCTTGCCAATAAAAACAGCTATCCAGTGGACTCCATTGTAGCACGTGTGCGTCACGGGTCAGGGCAAGTGCACCTGTATTTCCCTCTCATAATCCAGCAGAGATACTGTGACATACCCACTCTCAGCTCCTGGCTCCTTAGCCATTGCCTCTCTTGGGTGGATATTCATGTCTCTTTCTCTCCTGTCTGGGATTTTTCCAGGTTCCAGAGTTCCCTACCCACACTATGAGTTCCCCAGCATGTCAGACAGGCCTGTGTCTATAGTTGGCATTGTCCTCTGAAATTATAAATGCCCACAGATTCTAGTAAGTGATCAGTTCATTTTATCTGGTGCATAATTTAAAATAGCCCTTTGAACATCTAGGCCCACACTAATCCATAAACTTTGCATTGTTAATGCAATAGACTCCAAAGCTATTTCAATAAATTCAATAAGATTTTTCAAAGATATTGCAGGAGATTGCTATATCTGTCACAATGTGCATATGAGATGAAATAACGAACACTTAATTTGCTAAACAAACTTGGTGTCAAGCATTTAATATCTGACACAGGTTTGTAGAATCTGCCCTAACAAAGAATCTTTGAAAGAATATTCTCCCTTTAGTGCCCTTCCTATGACAGGTCTGAGGTGTGAACTGGCCCCTCAGATGATTTTCTGCTGCCTATCACACATTCTATAGTCTGGTCTCCACAGTATCTGAACCCTCAGATGATTTTCTGCTGCCTATCACATATTCTATAGTCTGGTCTCCACAGTATGAAAACCTGCAGTGATAGCAGGTTGACCATCTTATCATACAGCCTGCTCTTATGAGCCTACCCTTATTTACATTACCAAATACGTCTTCAGTTGCACATTTCTCAGCCTGCACTGCATGACATCATGTTCCAACACCTGCGAAAGAGCCCACGAGGGAAAGCATCGATTAGCATAAAGAAATGTAGCACACATATCTCATGGCGTCAGCTTGCTATCTTAGGTAATTAATTGCTTGGTTGGCTGAAGAAATTATTTACTAATATTGCTCAAGTGAGAATGCCTTGATTCCCAGGTGAAGTTTAACTTTGCATTACAAACAACCATAAATGTTAGTGCTGTAAAAGAATTCAGCATAACACATATTGATTTTCTTATCTGGAATCTCACAGACATTAACAAAATAAGATTATAGGAGCGTTTTGCCGTCAGGCTGTCCTTTATCAGCAAACACTGAAGCAGGAGGAATTTACGATATAGCCAAGCCTTCCAGATTGCATAGTGTATTACAACCAACTCTTTCAATCTCGGTTCATTACCATCAATGGGACTTAAGAGTGCCATCTGTGGTTACTGGCTAATGTATGCCTGTGCCCATACACAGTGTCACTAGACGTGGTTCTGTGCTGGAGACCCAAGTGAATCAGTATCTTTTTTCCTCTTATGCGTCTCTCCTTCTGAAAGGCAGAACACAAAGTCTTTCAGAGGCCCACTGAAATGAATAGATTCATAGTCTAAGGCCAGAAAGCACCTCTGTGATCTTCTAGTCTTACCTCCAGTACAACACAGGCCAGAGGACTTCTCTGCATTAATTCCTGTTTGAACTAAAGCATCTATTTTAGAATACCCTAAACAAGAGAGATTACATCTGTTAAAAAACTACGAGCTGGATTTTCCTGAGTTCATCTCCCATGCAGGTATCTGAAAAAGGAGCCAGAGTTTCAAAAAAAGCTCAGCAGACAACAATGCCTAATGTTCCCTTCTTTGTTCTCAATAAGAGCTGCTGTGTCCTGGACTCTTTTGAAAATCTGCCCCAAGGTGCATATTGCATCAGAGAAATCCCTTAAAATGAATACCTGCTAAAGGATTGACCTGGTTAAATTCATAACATCAAGGACACCAAGAGTGAAAATGCTACTGCAGTAGATAACTTCCATGGTCACCTGCTTTGCAACAAACCTAAGGATATTTCAGAATGAAATGTAAGCCTTTTAAAGGATACTGACCAGGCTATTTAGGCCATTAAAAAAAAAACAAACCAAACCACAAAAGATCAACTTTTTAATTGTCTTAATTTGAGAGGGAAAATCCCTCAACATACAAAATTGCTGTGTGTGTATGAGAGTTTTTTATTTAAATGTTTCACTCTGTTGCTGCTGAATTGAAAAACAAAGCAAGGTCCACCACTATTTTTGTGGGGACCACAACAAACAATCTGGGCTCCCCCTTCCTGCTCACATTTGCAGTACTGAAGATCAGCCAACACAGTTTTTCAGTGAATGATGCTGGACTGGCAGGCTCACAAACTGAGATGTCTCAGAATAAGATACCAGACAGTATGGAAGTGGGGTTTGTTAGATAAAACCTATGCTTCATAATTTCAATTCCATTTCAACCATTGGTGAGGCAGGGAAAGAATCTGTGGCTCAGATCCTGGTGCCCTGAGCTTACATTTTCAAAAGTGACTAGTGATTTTGGAGGGGCTCAATTTGAGACTTGTTAAAGGGGTCTGCTTTTCAGAAGCATTGGCACCTGCCCGCTGAAAGTTGTCTCACAATTGGCCATCAAAAATCCCTAATCTCTTTTGAAAATTTAGGCCATTATTAATTTTATGGGCCCAAGTAAGGACTACAAGGGTTGTTGCTGTGTTTGTCCAACAGAAAAGGACAAAAACAGTAGGGAAATAAAAACATAATTTTAATAATCTAAAAGGCCGTGACTACCAACAATAACAAAGAAAATTATACCAACTTCTGACTTGCAATGCCCTAAAAAATGAAGACCCCATGAAAGAAACAAGGCCTGTCCAATGTTTGCCTAAGGCTGTATGATGTATGGAAATGTCCATTGTGAAACAATGGGACTGGATGGGCATTGCTAAATGGAGTACAAAAAACTGGTCTCACTTCAGTAGTAAAATGCTTTTATTTTCTTTCAGTTAGGCTCTGTGTGCCTCATAAGCTTGTCTCTTGTCACCAACAGAAGCTGGTTCAGAAACAATGAATGGTCCTGCAGCACCTTAGGCTATGTCTAGACTGCACGGAGAAATTTCGAAAAAGCGGCTTGCTTTTTCGAAAGAAAGAATCCAGTGAGTCTGGATGCTCTCTTTTGAAGAAGCCCTATTTACATTGAAGAACGCCTTCTTTCGAAAGAGGAACTTTTGAAAGAAGGCGTTCTTCCTCGTAAATTGAGGTTTACCGCCATCGAAAGAAAAGCCGCGTTCTTTCGAATTAATTTCGAAAGAACGCGGCTTGAGTCTGGACGCAGGGGAAGTTTTTTCGAAAAAAGGCTACTTTTTTCGAAAAAACCCCTGAGTCTGGACACAGCCCTAGAGACTTGAGAACTACATGCAACATTTTTAGATAAGTTTATACATTAATATGTTTCCACACATTTTAAAATGTAACCTGTACAAGTTGTAAATTATTTTACCCATGCATGCAATTGATAAATATGTAAACAGTGTGTTGTACATGTGTGCATAAGCACAATTATGCATGCAGAAGAGTAAGCAGTTTTTTGGTGGGAAAAAACCCCAAGCAAAACAAACAAACAAACAAAATTAAACCACCCAGTCACTGTGGAGAAAAACAAAATCTGTTTTTGCAAAGTTTCACAGCCCAGTTATCCTTTAGGTGCAATTTTATTAATCATTGAGAAGCTATAAAATGTATATAATGAACCAGCTGAAAATTTTTTTGGAATTTTGCTGAAAAAAATTCCACAATTTGAAATAATTCTCTGCAAAAAAATCAAATAAAGAGAATGAATAGAAAATGGAAAGATAGTTTGTGCTAATACCATAATTATTTTAGGATGAATATTTCATAAATAAAATTTCAGCATATAATAGTGGAAGTTCAAACTGCAAGAAGTGATGCATATTTCAGGTTTAACTTTCTTTTTGTTTTAATACTACTGGCAAAACGTGAAATAAAGTCAGGGATTTTAAATGAAAAAAATATTTTACTGGGTGGATAAATCACATTTGTTATAGTTCCATAGGAGAAACAGCCATTTCAAATTTGCTAAATTGCTATACGGAAAGGAACACGCACGGTGGTACGTGTGTTGTGAAGACCTCCTCGAGTGGACTGTGCGATGGGTATTTATCCCCAAATCTGCACATCGCTTTCCTGCGCTTGCATATTACCATATATGGCCCAACAATCACCAAGTGGGGCCTTGCATATTACCATATATGGCCCAACGATCACCAAGTGGGGTGGGGGGGTCTGTGTCCCAGGGGTTGGGCTGAAACTGTGCAGGTTTCTTGCGACCAGGTAAGCCCCGCAGTTCTCACGCCAAGGTGATGGGTGGGAGAGTCTGAGGCTATTTTCCCCTTTTCACACCTTCCCTTTTTCTAAAGGCAATGGTATGTAGGAAGGGTGCGGCCCATTTCTCCCGATGAGTACTGCAGCCCACTATAGCAAAAGCGTCCTGGCCAAACTTTTTACTGTGGGGGGCAGTTTTTTCTCTAACAGACCATTTGTTGTTTTTTAAGCTTTTTCAGTTACAGACTAAAAGGGCTACCCCTCTGAGACTTAGAAGCTGGCTCAATACAAGCTATTATCTCAACTATCTTTTCTCTCTAATATTCTGCTACAATACAGCTACAACAGTACATACTTCCTCCACCTCACCCAGAGTAACACCTGTTTAAAAAACCAACATTGCCTGTTTTAAAATATCCTTTTCAATGTGTAGCAGTACAGCAATCTCAGATATGTTACTAAATCACCAGAGCAAGAAGCTTTATATTTCTTGGATCGGACATTCATGTATTACTTTATGTAGTTGCTTGTGCTGGGGAAGGAGGGTTGCCTAATGGTCAGCGCATTACCTCACTATAACCCATTGCACTCAAGTCTCTGGGTTGGGAGTGCCTTGTGGCTCAAGTCTGCAGTCAATAGATGTGCCTCATGCAGGAGTTCCCAAACAATGGATCACAAATCCATGCCATCAGCACATGGGGTTGCAGCCATCTGTGGTGTGGAGAGGATGACATTTTGCTTTGCCCAGAGTGACTCTGCCTAGATGGCATGTGAAAGGTCATGATGCATAGAAGACACCATTTCACTCTACAAAACAGCCTCCTCCACACAATGTGACCTCATACACACCATACATACGTACATACCCCATTAAAATACCACAATGACTCCATGCTTTGCTTCTTCTGAAAGCTGGGGCTTGATCATGCTAATATTTTTACTCAACTGTGTAACTGTGGGCACGATCAAGCCTTTGGATTGTAATGCCCTACTACACATATACATATTAAAAAATCAATACTTATTTTTAAAGTCCTGCAGTCACAAATGATGGGCCTGATCTTGCACTGCCTTACTTATATGAGTAGTGCCATTAACACAAATAGGATTGCAGGATTGGGTCCCAGGTGAGCGAGACTGTAGAGACTTATTTTTTAAAAAGTTATTTTCTCCTCCTGAGATTGCAGGCTATGTGCTGATAATGTGTGTAATAATGCATGATGCATGATTCAATGCCATGAGGAAATTATGCTGAGCTCCTCATGTTCTGCAGATGTGGCATATCCTCAACCAATCCGTGAATGAAGAGAGCTGACTGCTGTGAGGGTAAAGTACATCTGACCTTTCTTCATTAGTTACCTTCAAAATACAAAATGAAACAAACAACCCTTCAACTAATTCCCTACAATCCCGGTCTTAAAATTAGTGTTCACTCTCTGTATCTGTCTTTGTCTCTCTTTGACTTGGGGTGAATGCAATTGAAAATGTCAGAGATGCAGCTCATATCTAACGTAAGAGGAGGATTATAGTTTTCCTGACATAAGAGGAGGGGGATTACAACAATGCAGTTGACGTAGGAGGAGAGAGATTACAGTGTATCTGAAATAGTAGCAGTTATAGGAAAATTATTTACAGGCATCGATG